TCAACGATAACGAGCCAGTGGGAGTAACGTACGAGGAGAGATTTATGAATGAAGTACAAAACATTGGTGAAAGGAGACAAAGAAGACCTCCCCAAAGGTTTGATGAAGAATGCTACATCGCCAATGATTTAACTGCGGAAATCAACGAACCAGCAAACATCAACGAAGCCTATTCTGGAGAACATGGACATGACTGGAGAAAAGCAACCGACTCCGAATTTCATTCACTTATCGAGAACGATACTTGGGAACTTGTCCCATTACCAGATAATAGGAATATTGTTGGAAGCCGATGGGTTTTCAAGGTGAAGAGAGACGAAAATGGAGAAATACAGAGATATAAAGCTCGCCTAGTTGCACAAGGCTATTCACAAGCTGAAGGTGTCGACTATCATGAAGTATTTTCACCTGTCATACGAAATACAACTGTTCGATCGTTGTTAGCTTTAGCGAATGCAAAGACTGGGAAGTTCACCAAATGGACGTTAAAACAGCGTTTTTACAAGGAAATTTGGATGAAGAAATTTATATGCGACAACCTGAAGGTTATATTAGTAAGAAGCATCCTGACTATGTCTGCAAATTGAGAAAAAGCATCTATGGTTTAAAACAGTCAGCCAGATGTTGGAACAACGCCATCGACTCATACCTGAAATCAAAAGGATACAATCAAATGAGCTGTGATCCATGTCTGTACGTGAAATCTATTAAACAGCAAGATGGAAATGTGAATTTCGTGATACTATCTATTCATGTAGATGATATTCTCCTATTTTCCAATTCTACGAAAATGCTGAAGGTGGAGAAGAAAGCCATTGCATCAAAGTTCAAAGTTGAAGATTTAAATGAAGTCAAACATGTCCTTGGTATGCTGATCAAACGAGACAGAAAAAGGGGAAAATTGACAATTAGTCAATCAAAATATTTGGAAGGAATCTTGAAACGATTCAACATGGAACATTGCAAACCTGTTTTGACACCGTTAGAACCTGGAAAACATTTTCAGAATCTGCCCGAAGAAGAGACCGCAACAAATATTCATGAATATCAAAAACTTATCGGATGTTTGACATACGTGACAACAGCAACTCGACCTGACTTGGCATCTGCTGTAGGTATTCTTTCAAAATTTATGTCAAAGCCAGGAAAGGAGCATTGGCAGGAGCAAAAGAGTGTTGAGATACCTAAAAGGCACAATCAATTATGGTCTTGTTTTTCAAAGCAAAGATTCAACATGCGAAGTGGTTGGATATTCAGATGCTGATTGGGCAAGTGATGTAAATACAAGAAGATCTACATCAGGATACGTGTTCCAGATAAACAAATCAACCGTCAGCTGGAGCAGCAAGCGACAATCTTGTGTTGCAAGATCTTCGACTGAAGCTGAGTATGTTGCACTAAGTTATGCAACACAGGAAATCATATGGTTACGACGTTTACTAGCGGATATTGGAATAAATCAAGATCAACCATCTATACTGAACGAAGATAACCAAGGGGCAATTGAACTTTCGAGGAATCCACGATTTCACAATCGCACTAAACATATTGACGTTGCGTATCATTTTGTTAGAGAAAAGGTCAACGATAATTCCATTATTGTTCAATACTGTAGTACAGATCAGATGTTAGCGGATGTTATGACGAAAAGTTTACCAAAGCAAACATTCCAAAACTTTCGAGACATGTTAGGTGTCAAAGAAATTTTAGTTTAAGAATTCGTAATTCTTAAAGAACATTTATAGTGCACATTAAGTGGGAGTGTTAGCAATATGAAGTATTATTGATGATGTAATGTTACACTATAATATTATTGCATGAAGTATTTATGTTATCTTAGCACATGTTATGTTATACGGGAAGCCATGACTATTTTTCTTTCTATCAATTATATTTCATATTGCTAACATCAACAGGTTATGGGCCCAGCACGCTCCCGCTGCTATTTTTCTTTCTATCAATTATATTTCTATTCTATGTATTCCTGATTTCTGATTGTAATGAATCACTCAAATATCAACATTTGGTTGTAATAAAGTGAATGATTTGAACCTGGGAGTATTGTTACATGTTTGTAGATGTAGATCATTTAGATTTGTGCAGTCATGAGAAGGATTGTTGTTGTTGATGTCAATTGATGTTTTGTAATTCTTAGTGTTAGTCATCTCCAGAATAAAGTGAGGAGTAAAAGTCAGGTTTTCCATATTTGGTGTCAGGTTCATACGTCATCATATATTGTGTGTACAGGAAATTTGTCTGTGTGTGAAGGTCAATTGTGTATTGTCATCATGGATTAGTCGAAAGTGATGTTTTATGTTGCTCATTTTTTTCATGTTATTGCTGCCACCCTGGGGCGTGCACATAATCATGACATAACTGGACCCAGTCCTTCTGGCCGATCTATATAGAGGTGAAATCTTGATTTGTTTCTGTACTTTTTTTTCCAGGGGTGGGGATTTTACGGAATGAGGGGAGCTTACAATCACAACAAAGCAGAACCTTTTGAAACATTTGAGATATTTTGTACTTATTTCTACTTTTATTTAAGGTTTAAGAAATTCGCGATAAACTGTCGACATGATTACGATTCTTTACAAAGTTCTTTCAAACATGGTAATCCTCCTCCACGTTATCATTATGAAAGCAGAACTTTTCATAACGTCAGGTGATTATTATCTTACTGTGTTTACTTTAATCTTTAAAAACCAGTGAATGTATTCTCTCTTTTCTTTTATTTCTAGTGGATTTTGAATAAATTTTGAACTAGAAATAGTGTTTTACATTCTGCTCTTAATGTCAATTGAGATTTCATAATTTGGCGTAATTTCTTTCAGTGTTGGACACTGTGGGTTGGAGTTAGGATAAATAGGGTTTTGATAATACTTAAGATGAGGGATTTGTTAGGGTGAGGAAGGAGAAGAGTCATGGTGATTGTGTGCAACGCTTTCTCACTTATCTAAAGCCTGTATAACCCTTTCTCGCCTATGTATTTAAACCCTTCAGTACAGACCTCGAGTAACATGACTTGACTCGCGAGTATAGAATGGCGAGTGACTCTCGAGTGTGAGAAGTTCGCGAGTGAATAAAATAACTCGCTGTTTGCGAGTGAATCGAAATAACTCGCAAAAATTTCTTTCTCCAGTATTTGAAATTGACAAACATAATGTTTAGTGTAGTGACAAGTAAAATCACACCATCTCATTCATTTTTGTCGACGTGATGTCAATGAAATTGTTTCAGAAACCAATCTCATATTTGAAACATTTCTACTGGCAAGTGAATCGCAAAAGTTCTAGCCATTTACTATACACGTGGTCTTATATCGTTCTTGCTATTAAATGTCTATGGCCTTTATATCAATAGCTACTACATCCAAAATTCCAGGTCAATGAAGTTCTTTCAGAACCGAATTCAAAAGATTATACGTACACTCATCGCATAGCTACATTTCTCAAATATTTGGCTTTAAAGAATATTCGTCTTTTTAATGCATTCTTTCCTGAGATTATATATGTCCATAATCTAAGACTGTTAGAAGAAAATGTTTGAGCGCTATTTCAATTTACTTATTGATTGCGTGACATTTACTTTACATTTCTCTATGGTGTCTACCGCTTTACGAATAACGTTTGTGCCATGAAAAATGTGAAGTTATTAAAATGCTTTTGTAAAAAAATTCAAAAGATTTTAACGTCATTAGGTCCCGAGATATTGCTTCAAATGAATAGTCGTTTTGCTCCCATGTTTCATAAAAAGATATAAAACCGTTGCCTTCAAAATGTTGAACAAATTTTACTTGTCACTACACTTAAGATTATGCTTGTCAATTTCAAATACTGGAGAAAAAAATTTTTGCGAGTTATTTCGATTCACTAGCAAACATCTCACATTTGAGAGTAACTCGCAACTGCATCGCGTGTCACTCACTCAATCGCAACTCGTCATTCTCGAGTAACTCGCAACATAGGGGTGTCATACATTCTTAATGTCAATTTTTGCATTTGCGTTGTTTTGTAAACCGTTACGTATTGTTTTTGGCATTATAGCTATTTTGAGTATTTTCATGAAAATCGGGAAACATTTTGATTTTGATTCTTAAAACAAGACAGAAAAAAACTTAAATAAGCCAAATTTGAAGATTAAACCAAAGGGAATTTTGATTTTAAATAAGCCTAGCGTGAGAAAAAGAAGCCAAATTTGGCTCAAAATATTAAGCCAAACTGGCAACCTTGAACAAATATGATGTTTTTTATCATAAGTAAACATCAAGGATGTTACTGTTAATAATCAGAAAGCAAAAGTATACTCGGTTATTCTCTTTTCACTTTTGTCTTTCTTGTCATTTTCGTCGAAAGGTTGTAGCTTTTAGCAAAGTTAATACAGTAAAAAATTGGATGGAAACATCAAATGATGGCTCGTTTGATTACTAAGATGATGGCCAAGTGGTGAATTTATTGCGCTGTAAAATTTGCACAAAAAAGAGGAGAGAATAACATGCGAAAAAATTTTCTCTCCTACATTTGTAACTGGACCAGCTGTTTTAACGAAAAACACTGTCGTAAATCATATGAATTTGTTCACGTTTAAAAATATTAATTTAGCAATTAGCGCTATATAATAATTAACGTAATATCGATTTGATTATGCCTTTAAAGAAACACTTTGTCAAAAAAATTGCACATCGTTTCTCTCAACTAATTCGCACACTGATAAGGTGTCTAAAGGAATTATAAGGTGTCTAGAGGATTAATAAGGTGTCTAGAGGATTAATAAGGTGTCTAGAGGATTAATAAGGTGTCTAGAGGATTAATAAGGTGTCTAAAGGAATTATAAGGTGTCTAGAGGATTAATAAGGTGTCTAGAGGATTAATAAGGTGTCTAGAGGATTAATAAGGTGTCTAGAGGATTAATAAGTGTCAGGTCAAACAATGGATGTTTGATCTGATACATACATCTATAAACCTTAATAATCAATCTTTAAAAAATTTCAATATATTTCAAGGTTACAACAAAGACGATATGAAAGTGTATGTGTCCTATGAATTTCCCTTTTTAAACGTAAGTTGGTTTATGTTTTATTTAAGAAATAAAAGATGTTTACTGTGTTTGCACAAGCTTATGCAAACCAAGGAGACCTTTGGGAGAACTTGAGAGCTGATCAGTGCAAGCCTGAGACCGAAGGACGAGAGTTGCACAAGCTCGAGAGTTCTCACAAACGTCTTCGAGGTTTACATAAGCCTGTGCAAACACGAAAAACATCTTTTATTTCTTTTATAAAATAACAATAATACGAAAAAAGTCAAACATTTCAATTTTTTCTCTATTCATGATCGATTTGCAAATTCTCTTTGATTGATTGATTGTTTTGATTGATTTGATTGGTTGAGCTCAGATGTGTTTTGCACAGGTTAATGCAAACACGGCTCTAGACCAATCAGCGCACGCGTTTTATTGTTTTATTTTATAAAAAAATCACATTCACACTACAATGATTCAACAACATGACTGTGAATTGACATCTTTGCATGATTAGACGCAACGCAAGAGCGTGCACTTGTGACGGACAATGAAAGCATTGTTAACAATTTTGTTAGACAATAAAATCATTGTTCAAGCATTTGTTCTTATTACCGTTAAACAAATTCTATGTTTTGCAAACGACAGATTTTGCTCATGTAACAAACAGTTTCTTACTTTTTCTTAAATCAATGTTATTTGCCTAAACTAAATTTTAAAATCACTCAACTTTAGGATCAACCTCAAACTGGCTTCACGGAAACCATCAAACACAACATTAATCCTGGTAAGTTTTATTCGAAATGAATGATATCATACAGCATTGGATCCCTGCATGATCTTGTATTGAGGGGTGGGGACTGGGGAGGAGTTGCTTTACTACAGATCGTGATTTTACCCCAGACACGCGTGTTTAGTGTTTCGAGATTCTTTCGCGGAGTGATAATTGATTGACTACACACTCGTGTCTGCGGTAAAATCACGGCTTCAAAAAATTATCAGGGTTTTGTATTACAGGTAGCGTTCCATGTATTTTAGTTCAATGCTATGGACAAAATGGTCGTGTTACTTAAGAACTCATGACTTCATTAATATCCTATGTTGTGGTTATTGGAGTGGCAAGGGGGACTGGGGAGGAGTAATTTTACAAGGGACAGAATGGTCGTTTTACTTAAATATTCATAACGTCAATAATATCCAATGTTGTGGTTGTAAGCTTTTGATATGCTAGAACCTTCCCTCCTCATTAAATTCATTATCTACATCGATGATCAATTACGCTGTTTTTCGTATAGAATTTGATCAAAAGTTTAAGATATCTATCGACAGAAAAACCGATCGTTGGCGAGAATATTTCGACGACAAAGTGTGAAATTTGAAATAAAATACAACAGGTTTGTCGTACGTGAGATGGATGTTTCATTGTTTTACATTATGTGAAATATTTTTTATCGTCAGTAAATGTTCAAACCATTTAGAGGATTTCTGAAAGGTGACAAGACGCTGGGTCAAGCTTCTCTTAAGTTATCACCGTTTGATAATAGATGTGAAATTCACGAATGTCTTAATGTAAGTAATGTGTGGTATTTTTTTTAACTTTATGAATTAATAATTGCAGAAACTGTGTTTAAATCATTGAACTATATATAACTGGACGGCCACCCACCGCTAAAATTTGAAGACAAGATTTCGGTAAGCTAAAATGCCGAACTATACGCGTATAGTATAAGCTTTGTACAAATATAGGCATGTTTACCCAATGTAGCATTTCAGACTTCACCATCTTCTTAATGTCTGCCACGTGATCTGTAAAGGCAGAAAAAGGACTAGAACTAGTTTTTCAGTTAGACCTCCATTATTTGATAAACACATCATACGTCAGTGCTGCCACTCTGTGTATGCACATTTCACCTACGAAAACTTTATTTTCCCCCCACCTCCCACTACGATGATTTTCTCTTTGTTTCCCCTACTTTTCCTCTTACACAGCTACATATCCCCCAATTATATACCTACGTCGGGTCAGAACATTGAATTTTTTAGTCTGTTTTTAAAAAATGCATACAAAAAAAGATTCATTGAGAACTACGAACATCTAGACGACAAAGTTAGTAATTTGTCGTAGGAAGTAATGACATGCAGGTGGCGCAAATGACACACTGAGTTTATCTAAGTTGTTGATCTTCTATTGCCATATATGGTCACAAAATGTGCCAAAAGAAAGATTCTGTTAAAATCACTTGCTAAATGGTGAGAACACAGGAAGAAAAGAGTATTTTGGACAAAAATGAGGCTCATTTTTAAACGATTTTCTTTTCTCCCTACAATACCCTACATTTTACAGTTTTCCCCGTAGGTTCCCCCTACCACCTACGAACCACTAAATCCCCCTACCGTACGGGATTTCCCCTACGAGTTGCAGCACTGTCATACATAATGTCACTTAAAATACATGTTATCTCGATTCAAAATTTACGTACGTAAGAACGATTGCTGTCGTAAGTGGACTTAATTACAATTGCAGCTTATGGATCCCGAGAAAGGTCGCAAGGTGATTGGTGGAAAGATTGAAGTCAAATTACGTATTCGTGAACCTCTGACAGATAAAGATGTTGAAATCTTGACGCAAAAATTGTTGGTCATAGATGCATTTGTTGCACCAACAAATAGAGTGAGTATATAAAGTTAAGTTGTGTATAAATATATAGTTTTCACAGGGTTGTGTTTGTTGCATTGAACTAAAATACATGGAACGTTACCTGAAGTAATTACACCCAGACACGCGTGTGTAGTGTTTCGAGATTCTGAAAATTGATTGACTACACACGCGTGTCTGGGTGTAAAATTTAGCTTCAAGAATTTATTAGACTTTTCTATTACAGGTAGCGTTCCAGATGTATTTTAGTTCAACGGTTTATAGCACGAAACCATGATTACGTTAGACTGAATAGTGGATTTTTTAAACTTATTAAAATGTTATACGTACTGTATGCAACAATGAAACTGTCTTATATTGAAATGGACGTTTTAGTTTATCTATAAAACATTTGAAGTACATGAGCTATACTATAGATAAATATATATTCTGGATACAGAAACTCAAGGACATTTTTTCCTTTCCATATAACTGAGTCACATATCTCCTCATTCTCTCCCCTCCTTCGTATTTCGTTAAATGTTCACCGTTGCGTATTGGCTGTTATAAAATACTTTGCAGTTGGTTGTCTTTCTTAATTTTTTAGCCAATCAGTGCTTCGTCAACAAGTAAGGTATAAATGCTTTGATATGTATAATATATGGATAGCGCACCATGTATAAAATATAGGAAAATCGAAGCCGGAAGTGTGCGCATTTGCTTATGACCTTCGTGGGGGGCTATAGGACCCACTTTACTATACTGTTGTTGTAGAAAATCACAGTTTTGCGTTTTTATTCCTTTTACAAAGCATTGATTCAAGATAATTTTTATCAATCGGACAGGAAGATCGATAGAGAATTTCAACCCCTTAAGTTATGTTTTTCCGGCTTGTACAAGCTTATACATCCCATTTTCAGTAGCTATGTATGAACACGAATAAGATCTGATTTTTTCACTAGAAGTATCACTTCATGTTTTTTTAAATGTCCAAGATCAACAAAAGCGATAGGAAACATATAAAGCGCTTTAAAGCAGAAAATGATCACATCGTCAATATATATTTTAAGAAATGTGAGGCATACACTCTGCACATCTTCACGTTAAATTTTTAACAATGAATACTATCCATATATCATACATATCAATGTATCAATCAGTTAATGGTAAAACGTTTTCTATCTTCCTTTTTTCTTTGAAAGATCTGCGTCTTTCTGTGTTAATAATTTACTATTTTAAACTGGATTGTTTCTAAAATTATTCAAATGTTTTCTTTTTGCAGCTTAAAAATCCAGAAAATGGCAGAAAAGCAAAAAATTCAAACCAGTAAGTACATTAATGTTTCCTGTTTCTCGTTTGTTATTTTCATTTTTATTTGAGGGAGAAACTTTTCCTTCTTGTTTCAATGTAATAAACCATATTTAATCATTTGTATTTTGCTTGAAGTTTTCTCTTATGCCAAAGAAGACAAGTACCTCCAAAGTTTGAACGCTTCTACCAAGGTATTTATATAAACAAGTAATATTTGAAATACCATCGATCAATTTTCTATAAAAGCGATTGTGTTAAGTAGCGTAGTCAGTTCTCAAGTATAGTCCCGCTATGAAAATTTCGGAACTTTATGATCATTTATTGTTTTGGAAACCTTTTGTATTCATTGAGAGTCTTTCACTGCTCATCAGAAAGTTCAATAAAATCAATTGTGTTTTTTTAATGTACACCGTGAATGTTTAACGACATCAAAATTCAATGTTCTAAAGCTATTCATCCGACATCACTATTTACTTAATAAAAACTTAAACTGTGTTTGCATTAGCCTGTACAAACGTGCGTATCTGAGCTACATGAATTATATCAATCAAAGATAATTTGCAAATGAATCATGAGTACATGTTAGAGAAAAATTTTAAACTTTTTTCTTGAATTTATCTGTTTCGCATTACTATTATTTACAAAAGAACTAAAAGATGTTTTTTGTGTTTGTACTGGCTTATGCAAACCTTGAGACTTTTGTGAGAACTCTCAAGCTGGTGCAAACCTTCAACTTTCGGTGTAAAGCTTGCACTGACATTGTCTCAAGTTCTACCAAATGTCTCTTCGGTTTGTTTAACCCTGTACAACAATTAAGCATCTTTTATTTCCAAATCCCATCCTATGTTCAGTCTTCACAATCCTCTTGTTCGAATTTTCTTCGTGGGTGTGCAAGAGGTGAGGTGTGACCTTTCCCTTACTAATTATCAATATACCAACAGTTAAATTCTGATTTTATCTTTCTGTCCTCCATTAATATCCATTAATATTAGCCATTAATATCCATTTGTGTCCTTTATTGCAGACGTGCAGACGGTCGTTGATATATATTTAAATTACGACTGTGAATTGGCTTTGTCGAATATCTTTCAAAGATTGATCAATGATTTGTCTAAAGTTGCCCAAGGATGTCAAGCTATTGAATTAGGAGCGACACCAGTAAGTTGATGAATATGTTTCATAATATTTACTTCTCTACATTTTCTTGTTCATATCTATGCCACTCGAAAAGGACTGGAACGTAGTCTATTATTGTGAAAAGGACTGGGACATAGTCTATCAACATGAAAAAACTGGAGCTTAGGCTATCAACATGAAAAGGACTAGAACATGTCTCTAATATTTTGTGATGATAATGTTGATTATAATACATCTTTTTATCACGTTTTTATATGAATAGTATCAATGTCGTCTTATTTTTATATGATTTTTCCAGGTTCAAGAACGCAGTATTCGTATCAAAGGTCTGGAATGTCTCGTTTCTATTCTTAAATGTATGGTAGAATGGAGCAGGGATCTTTACTTTAAACCTGATTCTCAGGTGGAGGATAACTTTGGTTAGTTTTAACATCTTTATGAAACTGAAGAAACTCGCATTTAGCGAATATAAACTTAATATTGTTATTCATTTGGATAAGTTATCGCTTTATGATGCATTGTACCCCTCTTTTGATATCGGCTACACTGACGATTTTTATCTCCATCAAGATTCCATCTTTCTATACTCTGTATCCCCTATTTATCGAAGGTACTCCATTATTTTCTTATACACACGTTAATGTTCTTAATCAAAACTAGTTGTTCGACAATTGTAGTTAACCTCTCAGGATCTAAGTTATCCCTAAGTTATCTTTTTTACCCTTGGTGGTCTCGCGGTGGATCAAGGCTATATCTTAATGTTTATAGTTACTCATTATTGACCAATGCTACCCTCAATGTTCTAGTCTATCTCTCAATAATTTAGACTAACTTCCTGATGATCTAGGCTATCTGTTAATGATCTATGCTAACCTCTTAATGATCCACGCGATCCCTTATTGATCTCCAAATCATCATAGTTATTCCTCAATACTTCTGTTTAATCTCTTCCATATAAATTTCCTGACAGATCTGGTTGATGGTGCACCAACAATTTCTCGAAAAGGAAGCACAGAGGAGAATGAAAACAGGGGGAGTCTTGTGATTTACAATCTCAAAAAACGGGGGGTAGTCAGTCGTCTATTAATAGTACAAAAGCCATCGATAATGCTGAAGAATTTGAGAGTCTTAAACAGAAGAAGGAGACGAAAGAAAAGGGAATTCAAATGTAAGTTTGGTCAACAATTTTGCTTATATTTTGTACTTTTATTCAATTTTACGATTTACTTTAAGATTTAACAAGAATCCATCAAAAGATATAAAATTTCTACAATCTGAAGGTCTCCTTGGTGAGACAGGAACTGAAGTTGCTCAATTCTTACACACAGATGATACACTAGACAAGGTGATGATCATTTTAGTCCATCTATATCCCTTGCAATCCTTTTGTTTATGATACACAAGACAAGTTGATGATCATTTTAGACCAACTATATCCCTTGCAATCCTTTTGTTTATGATACACTAGACAAGGTGATGATCATTGTACTCCATTTATATCCCTTGCAATCGTTTAGTTTATGATACAATAGACAAAATGATGATCATTTTAGACCATCTATATCCTTTGCAATCCTTATGTTTCATTTCACATGATGTCGTCTTCTTTCACTAAAGTTTTCATTTTGTCACATTTTCACGCTATCTTTGAGGAGTTTGTAGAAACATTAAATGTTGCTTTAGATTTTGACCCAGTGTTGCGTTATATGGTTTTAGACTATGATTGGTGAGCTGATTGGTGATCCAGGACAGTAAGTATGTTTTTTCACATCTCCCTCGCGTGACAAACACGTGAAAATCACGTTAAGACGTTTGATTCTCATCTTAAGTATTTATTTCAACATAAATTGAGTCAAGAAAAGTTGATTATGTTAATTTGCCATGAAGCCCATGGATGGTTTGCTCATGATACATGAAATAGTAAATCAGAAAATTTAATCGTAAGATCAAGAATGTTTAAATATGTTTAAGGTTGCATTAAACTCCATGTAAAAGGACAAAAGCTGTTTGAAACTAAGCATTATCTTCAAATCTCTTGGTTATTTTGTTCATAAAAAGCAAAACAATCTTTTTATATGTTCAAAATTTCTCCATCCAGTGAATAATATTGACAGAATTTAGTAAGATTTGCTACTGTTCAAAATAAGCAAACAATAGTAGACTTAGATCTATTATTCGTCATGTCCTCAACTGTGCCTTATATCCTCAACTGTTCCTCGTGTCTTCCTATACTTCTTAGATATGAACGGGAGATAATGTACGCCTATATAGATCAGTTGGATTTCACTGGTACCAATCTTGTGCAAGCTCTGCGATTACTTCCGGCTTACATAACTTCCGGCTTCCCGGTGAAGCGCAAAAGATCGATCGACTCATGGAGAAGTTTGCGAGTAGGTTCTGTGAAACGAACGCAAAGTAAGGACATGATTTGTGTCTTGTTATTTGTTGTTTTACACCTCGCATTGCATGCTGGTTAGTGAAACTTACGAAATGACTTTTGTCTATGAACCATGTGTTAATTTTTTTTTCTTCATTTAACATCAACAATAATTTAAGACTATTTTTTGACGATTTTGTTTTTTTTAAGTATTTTCACATCGAACTTTTATCATTCGAGTTTTGAGGACTGCAATTTGCTGTTAGATAGATGTAAAGTGAGTTGTTTGAACTGGGAGTATTGTTACAAGTTTGTAGATGTAGATCATCCAGGATTGTAGAGTCCTGAGAAGGACTGTTGTTGTTGATGTTGACTGACGTTTCTACAACCTTACTCATGTACAAACATGTCTAGATATAGCTAGGTTAGACTGTCTTTGATAAACTTTTATTTTATATTTATCATTTATATTTTAGTGACGATGTGTTTGCTAGTGCAGACGCTGCCTACGTTCTGGCTTATTCTATCATCCTGTTGACTACTGATCTACATAGTTCACAGGTTACACAGACTTACTTCATTTGCAATGGTTTTCTATAAAAGTGACTTTATGTCTAAGATCACGTGACTCCATTGTGGTCACGCGCGATTTTCATAGCAATGATATGGAGCCTTCATTCTGTTTGATAATCTAATATTTTAACTGACCAATGAATGATTTGACTGGATTTTCTTTTGAGATAATCCACAACTTAAGCTAAATCTGCTTCTTACAACCGGTCCCAGTCTCCATTGTTGACCATTTTGTTTTGTGTGCTTAAGATTGCATGGAGTCCGTTTCTTGCCGCGTTCAGCGTCAATGTACAAGACAACGACGATCATTCTGTTGCTTCATTTTGTCTTGATGGAATCCGCTGTGCAATACGAATATCTTGCATATTCAGCATGCCTGTAAGTTGATAAACACTCAACATTCTGTTCATTTTTATATATTTGGGTGTGAAATAACGACATTAATGTCTCAGCATACCTTTTCATCCCCTGGTGACCCTTTCCCGGACATAAATATATATTCAAAAATATGTTGAATGCTGAATTGTTGAAATATATGAATATATTTACGTAGTTACATACACGTCGTGTTCTTTGCGTGTTATATGTTCAAGGTTTAGATGATACTCATATGTATACAATAAAAACAGATGTTTGTTTACCTTTAAAATAATTGTGTGTTTGTGTACATATATGGATATATCAGTGTGCATGTGAATGTGAAATAATTTTTGCTTTAAAGTTTTTGAAAGATTACAGTTAGTTATAATGATGTTAGGGAATATGAATGGAGATTCTTTATCATTAAGTTCATTTTTCGATACTCCTAATAACTTTTTTCACTTTGTAGTTGGAAAGAGATGCTTTCGTACAAGCGCTATCCAGGTTCACTTTACTTACTGCGACCAGTGGCACGCATATTCATGAAATGAAAACGAAGAACATCGAGACGATCAAGACACTTCTTTTCATATGAATGTTTTCATATCTTCATGATGAATGTTTTCATGTCTTTTCATATCTTCATTTAATTTAACACTTCTTTTCATCGCTCAATCGGATGGTAATTACATAGAGAAGTCTTGGCTCGAGGTAGGGAGAATCATCTTGCTATATATTTTGGTTGGTGTCTACGACTGAAAATATGATCGATTGTTTTTTCATCAAAGGAAAAAGTCTAGGTCTTGTCTGTAGTGGAAACTTCACGATATTGCTACAGTCTTTAACTTTCAGTTTTCCAAGTGCTTTGTTGACCGTATTCCATACCCTTCATCAGAGAATCGTATCACAAATGTACATCTGTAATAAATATGCATAAGAAATGGAAGTTTTTTCTCAAGATTTATTTTTATTTAAAGATATTTTCTACGTATGTATTTAACGCTTATGTTCGTCTTGTTGGACACTCGTTTTCGTCGCTCAAATGCTTGTTCTGCTCGGCGCATCTTTTTACGTTTCCCTGAAGTCAGTGTTTTCATTCTAAATAATTAAATGCATTTCCCAACTTGAATTATCTCAGCTTATCGGTACTGGTGTGAAAACGCGATACCTTCACACGGCGTCCAGCGGTGTTACTAATTCACCCACAGCATTCACCGCAAACAACAAGACATCTTGAGATATAACCTCAGGTTGCTTATAACATTGTTGTGACGCTCATAGAAAAATGTCAAATACTAACGTTGGGTGCTTTTCTTTATTGGAATTTCTATGAAGGTCGGATGCCTGTTGCCGCTGACTCGAAAAAAGCGGCTGGCTCACAGGAAGCCATTGGGGAGACCGCTGCACAAAGTGTTGTCGTTGCAGTTGACAGGTAACGTTTACTTTAATGATAGCTATGTGGATTGTGTTTTGTGACCTATCTCCCACCCCAGGGGCGAAGCTAGAACGTTAATGCAGGGGGAGGAGTGAATATTCATATATATGGTCATATATTCCGCTGTGACCAACTAATTTCTTTTGAAATTAAAATAGCTTTTAAACCAAATCAATCAAGCAAAACTAAATACATGAATATTCACCCCTCCCATTTAGCGTTCTAGCTTCGGCCCTGCCCCCCTCCCAGAAATCTTTTAAATTGTCTTTAAGCTAGAGTGGTGCTTGTAACAGCAAGAAATATCGACGGTTGATTCTCTATGTAGACATGTTCATTGTCCATGTTAGCAGAGTCCTGAGAATGACTGTTATTGTTATTGTTGACTGACGTTTTGACATCCTTAGCTGTAGTCATCTTCAGGCTCAAGTGAACCAGAGAACCTTGAACATAAACATGAAAATATAATTTTGAAGAACTCGTGCACTGTCCATACGTTATGTTCTCTCAGCAGAATATCTTCATCTCAACTTCTTCATTGTGTTTTATTACGTTTAGAGTTTTCACGGGATCAGTGAAACTGGATGGTGATGCTATCGGTAGGTTTGCATGTATACATTAAACGCATCTTACATAAGATTTTTAACATCTAACTTGACCATTATTCACTGACCATCCTTTATCCCAAGTACCCAAATCTCCAATACCCGAAATCCGAAGTACCCAAATTTCTAGTACCCAAATCCCCTGTTCCCAAATACCAAATCCCAAGTATCCCAAATCCCCAGTGTCCAAATCCCGAGATATCAAATCCCAAGTATTGTTATCTCCTGTATCCAAATCTCAAAATGTTTTCGTTTTTCTCCTAAGTCGATTTCGTGGAAGGTTTACGTCAAGTCTCGGAAGTTGAGCTTTCCAATCCTACAATGATACGTATGTTTAGTCTGCAGAAGATCGTAGAGATTGCTTATTACAATATGGGTCGTATTCGGCTACAATGGTCACGAATATGGGCTGTGTTGGGAGATCATTTTAACAAGGTTAGCGATGATTAACGATTAAGATTGTATCTTGATATTATGCATTAAAACATCAGGTTGTTATGATGTACTCAGGTATAGTAAGAAGATAATCGTTGTTTTCAATGTTTCATCAACTAAACTACCAGATCAACTGTGAATTATTATGATATTTTAAAACACAGTTCTAGTTTCTTTCATATCTCAAGTAAAAAAACAAGATAATCAATGCCTTCATCTCCAATGTTCTACCAACTATATTACTTCTCCATCTTGGATAATTTATGTGCCATTTTAGTGTGGTTGTAACCCTAATGAAGAAGTTGCGTTCTTCTGTGTCGACTCTTTTCGACAATTATCCATGAAATTCTTGGAAAAGGGGGAA